AAGAGTGGTTAGCAGAATTTGACTGAGATTTATAAGATAAAGTTAAACACAATTAAGCATCAAACAATATAACATAATATAATATATAATAAAGCTTAAAATGTTTTGTGTTAGTACACTGGAGAAAATATTAATAATTCATGTGGTACAGGTCTAAGGTTTAATTATTTGCAAATGCGTTAGTGTGGTGTGGCTAACCCCTCCCCATCATTTTACTGTAATGATAGGTTTCACTAGTGGCAATATAATGTTGAGAATGAAGTGCAACTTAAAGTTTTGTGTTCAGTTCTGATTTTTGAATGGAGCTGGGTTGCCAGTTTCCTGAGACATGTGAAAATTCTGCTCTAGTAAGACGAAGGAGATTTAGACTACTTAAAGCTAGAGAAAAGGAGCCTTGGTGTTGTCTATAGGTAACTGAAGAGCACCTGAAATTATATTTATTGTATATAGGACTGAGGAAGAACAAGATTAAGTAGCCAGGACTAGTGAACCTTTATCAGTAGAAGTGTCCAGTTGTGACTGAATGTCCATCTGTCAGGGTTATTGAGGACAAATGGCTTATACTGGGTGAAATGAAAAGCTAGATCTGAAATGTTAAAGATTTAATGAGTGTGAGAAATCCTTCAGACTACCTGGTAGGAATGCTACAGAGGTTCTAGCATCAGAAAGAAGGTAATTATTAGTTTGACCTCTTTGGTCATTTGTAGCTGTTCTATAATTTGGGATCAACAGACGGCGTTTGGGTTACTAGACTCCCACATGACAGACCACGGTTTGAGTCCCAGACCTGGCAGCTTGAAACTCATGCTGGGCACTTGTGTGTGCATGCCCAAGATCCCAGGAGGAGAATGGAGGAGACTGGAAGAGAAGGGATTTTGGCATGGCTGTCCCTCCTGGGGAGTGATTTCTCACTTTCCCTCTAACTGTGTCTGTCTCTCCACTCCTCCCCTAGTACATGTGCCCTTAAGGCAAAAACCTCTTTAAAAAAAAAAAAGAGTCTATAATTTAAGAACTGTATAAATCCCTTAGTAAATGTATCTGGATTACACAATTCTCTCATTAGATTTTAGCATATTGACAAGAATAATTCTTTTTCCATTTTCCTTACAAAATTGAAATATAATAAAGTATTTTACTCTGTGTTATAGTTAAGATGAACACTGATTACCAGTAAGTAAAGATTGCCAGAGTGACCTAGCAGTTATGGGAAAGTATAATAGAATTCTTTTGTGTCTGATTTTTCTTCCCTTTAAATAAATAAAAATGGGAATGGCTGGTTTTTATCTTTCCATTGTATTTAAAGGTATTACTTATTAAATTAAATCTTTTCTCATGAATTATCTCTATTTTTTAAGGCTGAGAAAAGTTGAATTTCTAATATTGGTTGAAATACTTGTACTTAAGAAATTAGGCTCTTTATCTTATGTAACAAAACCTCTTTTAGACACTTGTAAATAAGTGAGACAGTCTAATCTTCTGTTTTAATTTTTCACTTTGGAGTTGTATAATGAAAGTGTATTTTGTTATGTCTTACAAGCAGGATTCTGACCCATTCTTGGAAAATTAGCAAGTAGAACGTAGAGGGAGAAAGTGAATATCGTGGCTTCCTCAAGCTGCCAAATACTGTTTTTTGTATATGGGAAAACATGGGATCGAGGAGCAAGTTAAACACAAATAAGGAAATGAATGTTCATATTCAGAGTGTGGAATGTTCCATGGGAGAATAGTTGACCTGAGTTTTTTCAAAATTTACCATCTTGAACAGGAAAAATGGTGGGGTCTGTTTTAGATTAAAAGAGAGTGAGGGCACATAACAACCAAATGGCTTATATGAAATTTATTGGCTATTGACTTGAGGAATAAAACATCTATTAAAGACATTGTGTAGACAGGGATAAATCTGAATATGGGACCAATTCTTTGACATTAGGCCATTATCACCCTTCTTAAGTATGTAAGTAGTATTGTGGCTATAGAGAAGGATGCTCTGATTTTTAAGAAATGCAGGTGGAGGTGGCCAGCAGGTGGTGTACTTGTTGGAGTGCCTGGACTCCCACATGACTGACCACAGTTTGAGTCCTGGACTTGGTGGCTTGCTTTCTCACTTTCCTTCTCTGGTCAAATTAAAAATAATAACAGTAGTAATAATAATAAATAAAGTTAAATAAATATTTAGAAAACAAAATTTAAGGAAAGAAATGCATATTGAAGTATTAGTAAAATGTCATGATGTGTATAACTTCAACTCTCAGGGAAAAAAGGCAAACTTATGTGTACAAAGGAAGCATATAAGCAGGTTCTTAACAGCTGTTGAGTCTAGGTGGATGGTATGTGCGTGAAATTTTCTCATAACAGAATACTGAGGAAAAGGAGTGGCAAGGGAGCTGGCTTCCCACATGATTTATTGTGGTTGAGATCCTGGTTTCAGCAGTTCAAAAAATAGTACAGGCACGGGTATGTGATGCCGTCACTCCTGACAAGATAGAGAAATGAAGGAAAGGGGATTGTGGTGTGACCAGGCCCCCATTGTGGGGTACTTTCTTTCTCTCTCTCTCCCTGTCTGTTTAGCCAGTGCTTGTGCTCTCTGTCATTTTAAAAAAACAAACAGACAAACCCAAAATACATTAGTTGAACTAACTGATTTGGGTTTGGCATTGTTAATTTTTGTTAGAGAAGAGCTAAAATAAAATATTGCATCTATCTCATCTGCAGTATTTTATTGTAGTTGGCACGGTGCACTTTGAATTTTCTTTCTTTAATAATTATTTATTTAATTTTATTTATTTATTATTTTTATTCAATTTGACCAGAGGGAGACAGAGAGAGGGAAGGAGAGTGAGAAAGCAAGCCACCAGGTCCGGGACTTGAACCATAGTGAGTCTTGTAGGAGTCCAGTGCCTTAACCACCTGCTGGTCTCTGCACTTGAATTTTCTAAAGAAAATATTTTCTTTGGTTTCTAGTTGGAAGGATGTGAGCATATGGGTTTATAATTATATTGACTTTAGAGGCCATTTGTTTATAAGTAAACTCAGAAAAATTTTGTGAAGAAGCATTGCTTTAAAGAAGTTAAAATGGGGACCAGCAGGTGGTTATGTTGCTGGGCTCCCATGTAGTCGATCATGGTTTAAATCCCAGACCTGGCAGCTTGAAATACAAGCCGGGTGCATGTGTGTGCATGCCAAAATCCCAAGAGAATAATGGAGGAGAAGGGATTGCGGTGTGGCTATCCCCACTAGGGGGTGATTTTTTACTTTCTTTCTCTCTGACAAGCATATGCGCCCTATAGCAAAAAATCTCTTTCTGGGGGAAAAAAAAAGAAGTTAGAATGTACTGTGGTTTAATTTGCATGGTAGAAAGAACCTTATTTGGGCTATGCTTAGTCACAGATCTAGAGAAAAATGTATAGGGAAGTAAAAATAAGTTTCACTTGTGAGAAAAATATTTAATATTTTCAAAGCTTTCCGAATGTGTTCTTCAGTTATCTTCTGACAGAAATTTGGCAGTGTTTCATTCGAATTTTTGAAAACAAAAACGAATTCAAAATTAATAAAAATCCTGAGGAGTTATATTTTTATTCCCTGCCAATGTCATCTTTATATTAATTTGTTTCATAGCTTTTGTTATGCAATTTTAAAAGTACTTTACAAGGGCCAGCAGGTGGCATGGTGGTTTAGGGTGCTGGACTACCACATAGCCAGCTGTAGTTTGAGACTTGGCAGCTTGCTTTCTCACTCTCACTTTCTCTCAGTCTCTCTCTGGTCAAATTAAGAAATAATAATAATAAATAAAGTTAAATAAAATACTTCTTAAAGAGAACCAGGAGTTAGCGTAATGGCTATGTTGCTGGGCTCCCATGTAGTCGACCGCGGTTCACGTCCTGGACCCGGTGGCTTAAAACTCACGCCGGGCGCGTATGCGTGCATGCCCAAGATCCCGAGAGGAGAATGGAGGAGAAGGGATTGTGGCGTGACCATCCCCCCTGAGGGGTGATTTCTCGCTTTCTGTCTCTCTGTCTCTCTCTGTCTGTCTGGCGAGCGCACACGCCCTATAGTGAAAAACCTCTCAAAGAAAAAAAAAAAACTTCTTAAAAAAAGTACCTTACGTAAGTTTATCATATAGTTTCTCTGTGAACTACCTTGTCTCGACAAAGTTATTTGTTAAATAATAACAGTCATACATGAGAAAGATAATATAATCTTTGTACATTACTGAAGATCCCAATTTTTATAAACTGGCTCAGTTTTGGCAAGGGGAAAATGATTTGCTAAAGATTATCTGACAGTTGGACTAAGGTAGACTGTTTCATTGTTCTGTTATTAATTCAGGTTTATTAAGTTTAGTATGAAATGTGCAGAACAAGTATAAAAAGGATATTTTAGTCCAAAGCTTTCTTGAATTTGCTGGGCAGTGATGGGTTTAGCATGAGTAATACTTTTTGTGTGGGTGTGTCTTCTGTATAATTATGCTGGCATGCTGTAGTCATATGTCTCTCCTTCCTCCTCTCTGTTCTCTCTGGTATGCAGAGTATTTGATTTCTGATACTGGAGGACAACAGCTCTCAATAAGTGACGCCTTCATCAAAGGTAATTTTATCAACAGCGGTGTATGGGATGGTGTCTTTTTGTTCGTGAGGATATACTTAGGGCCTAGTACATGGATTGACACAGAGAAGGTACTGAAACTATATTTGATTATTTTAGTATCACAGGGACACAGTTTTTAATATATGCAGTAACTGAGAATGTTGAGAACCAAGAATATAAACTTGGACTTGATTTGAGAACGAGAGATCTGTGATCACGAAAGTAACTGCTTAAAAGCTTTTGAATAGAGTTTGAATTTTATTCTGTAAAGTCATAAATAGTTTATACTTTCCTATATCGTGAATAAAATATGAAGTATTGATACAGAGATGTATAAGGATGGTCAGATTTGTCAAAAAGCCAACATGCAAATCTTACCCAATCAAGGATGCTGCTTCCTTGGGTTGGGGTAGTCAGAAGCAGGTGAAGAACAAACTCTGTTGATAAATTTCTTGGTACAAAAGGAATACAGAAGAATACAAAGCTGTTTCTTACCCCCTTCCCTGCTTAGCTTACTGTGGAGTGAAGACAGGCTTAATTGATCCACAGTGCTCCACAGCTTAGGCTTCAGATACTGGGAGGAAAGTTCCCTGCCCAGTGTTTTTCCTTGACTACCGCAGTTTCAAATGGAAGGAAGAGGAGCTGCTCAGCTGTTGGGTAAGCTGGCACAAAGGCAGCCACTTCCAGCTGATCTCATGACATGGCAGTGCTTCTGAATTCACCTCCAAGCCAGTGGTTCAGCCAGAAGTTTATAGTTTACATAACTGAAATGCGCAGTTCTTATACTTCACGCTACACAAACACATGTTTTACTGTGTTGTCTGCTGGACTGTTTAGTGAAAGTTTCTCTGTTTGGTTGGTTTTTCTCTAAGAAGGAAAGGGCTAGACATTTTACAGAATTACCATTTATCATGTTTTAATTTTTTTATAGTGTATTTTGGGATCTGCCTTGTTAATATTGTATTTAAAAGCTCGTGCCAATATTGAAAAGGAAGCACTGTTTAGGATTGTCTGAATAGACTTTCTACACTGTCATCTGCCATTTCAGGGTATCTAAGCTGAGCTTCTCTCTTGAAGTTGAACACCCACACTATCACATGTTCTGCCAGCATTCAAATTTTTGTCGGATGAGGTTTTCAGTTTGTGATTTTTATAGAGAAAAGTAGTACCCTTCTTTTTTAATGTTCCAAAGTAGAAAAGGACAGGGTAAAAATCCCATTTTCTTTCCAGAAACAGTGTTTATAATTATTGGCATGAGAGTTCTAGTTACTTATGTAAATTTGCTTTTTACAATTCTTTCTCTGATTTTAGTTTTTAATTCTTTATGTAGTTTTAGTACATTTATGTATATATTTATGTATGAATGAATGTCTGTATGTGTTTATGTATTATAATATATATTTTATGTATTTATTTTTGTAATAATTATAATAATATAGTTTATGTATTTTATTTGTGTATTACATGTTTATTACATTTCCCTACCTTCTTACACCAATAATTTGTAATAGCCAACTTAAAAAAATTTAGAAGAGAAATTTGTAAATGTATCAGTAGATGATATAAAACATGACAATGAGGTATTAACTGCTTATTTTATGCATAGAATCCTTATTTAATCGTCGGGTGGAGGAAAAGTCGAAAGAACTGCCTTTCACACCATTGGGCTGGCATCATAACAACCTGGAGCTCCTAAGGGAGGAGAATGGAGAGAAACAAGCCATGGAGAGGTTGCTGTAAGGCACTGAGCTTTTTAGTGTTAATTTTCCATTTTTATAATCTCTAATAATTTGATGAGCATACACATAGTACCTTGTACAGCTGAGAAAATACTAAGACCAGGACCAGCAGATGGTGTGGTGGTTAAGGGATTGGACCCCTGCATGGCTGACTATGGTTTGAGTCCTGGACCAGTGACTTGAAAATCATGCTGGACATGTGTGTATGTGTGTCTATATGTGCCCAAAATCCCAAGAGGAGAAGGGATTGCAGCATGACTATCCCTTCTGAGGAGGTGATTTCTCATTTTCTCTCTCTCTCCAGTGAGTACACACGTCCTATGGCAAAAAAACTAAAAAAAAAAAAAAAAAAGTAAGACTACTTAAAAAGTAAAACCTATATTCCAATCTCTGATGAAGTTTATTGTAAAACAAAGGACACACAACCTGTCCTTGTGTGTCCCATTTTAATTTGTGTTAAAATTTCATTTTAGCAAATTAATTTAGGTGAGGATATTTACAGATTTCTTTTATGTGCAAAGCATTAAGTTGTGGATATATTGAAATAATAAAATTGACCTATTGCCCTAGAAGATCTCGTCTGTGAACCAAAATTAGAATATTTATTTTCTTGTAGACTGCTTGTTGTGTCTTCAGAATTATTGTCCCTGGCATTATTAACTATGTAGACTTTGTTCTGTAATATATTTTTTAGGTCAGCCAATCATAACCACATGATGGCACTACTGCAGCAGTTACTCCATAATGACTCACTGTCACCATCTTGGAGGGACATCATTGTATCACTGGTCTGCCAGGTTGTTCAGACAGTCCGACCTGATGTCAAGAGCCAGGATGATGATATGGATATCCGTCAGTTTGTCCACATCAAAAAAGTGAGTTCTGCTAATAACTAGGAACAGATGAGGTAGGCCTGGTAGGAATTTGTCTCTTAATAGTAATCTAAAAAGTAAATATCCTGAGAGGGTGCTGGGTGAGGAGGTTTTGGTGTCTGCTCTGTTCGTTAGCAATACTTTTAGGGATCAGGGAAGCCACTCTTAGAGATTGAGGGGTGGACAGAAGGGGTGAGTTGGTTGAGAGGTGAGCTGGGAACGTAAGCAAGCAGTTTCTTCCTCATTTTGACATGTAGTTATGAGAAAGCCTGTGCCCACAGATAATTGTCACTGTTCTGAGGAAAAGCAGTGGGCAGTTGCTTTATTTAGATAGCAGTGGGATCCTGTATGTATTTTTTGCCCATGATATTTAACTTAAATGATAGTGGTCTGAATTGCCATATAGTACCTGTTTATTCAGTCCACCAGTATTTTAGAGTATACAGTAATAGTGCATTAGAGAGTGGGGGTGGGAAAACAGTCATGTTGATATGCCAGTAGTTATTGTTAAAAGACAGAACTATATCCTAGAACTTTTTGTCCTTATTTGATTATATAATATTTAAAATAAAAAATAGACATAATAGCAACATCTGACTGGATTCTACAGATATATCATTGATTTTGTTTTGTTAATTGTTCCATTAGATCCCAGGTGGAAAGAAGTTTGATTCTGTGGTTGTCAATGGCTTTGTTTGTACTAAGAATATTGCACATAAAAAGGTAATGTGATAAAGTTCAACAATGAAAGTTCACTGACAGTGAAGTTCAGCTTAGGCTGTGTGTTCAGCTAAAAAGTTGGGGTGCTTTAAGGTGAAAGAAACAGAGAGTGGACATTGAAGGGCAATTAGAAGTGTCTGCCATAGGGATGAAAATTTAGAGGTTCAGGGATGACTTCCCAGAGCTGATGATGAATGTATTGGAATCTGAATAATGGAAATTCACTAGACAGAGAAAGAAGTGGGCCATGCTTCTGGACCAACAGAATGGTAGGATCCTGGTCCCTGGCACATATCAAGGAGACAGGGTTGCTCTAACAGACTGGAGTCCTTCCAGAAGTTTAGCAGTCTAAAACTATTTCCTCTTCTAGGCCCACACTACAAAACAGTCAGTGTTTCTCTAACATACTCACTGTACATCTGTACCCTCAGCCCTGAGGCCACTTTTAGCACTAGCACAAAAAAGTGGTGTGAGATAAACCGGGTATTGCAGAAACTCTGAGCTCCTTAGGGAAGAAATGGCAGATGAGACTGGAGGCGGCTGGCAAGGCTTTATTGACCTAAGATTTTGAACTTGATTCTGAAGGCTTTCTGATTCTCAAAGTGTAGTGTAGGATAGAATCGCCCATGAACTTTGTTAGAAAAGTCCATCCTAGTTTCTGCTGTGCTGGCTTGGGCTGCTTACACTTTACTGTTCTGCAGTTTGGAGCCACATAGTCCAACCTGAAGGCCAGGTGTGGTGCGTGCCTTTAAAGCTAGAGACTGGGAGGTTGAGGCAGGAGGGTTGTGACTAATGAAACCTTGTCTTAAAAAACAAGCAGAGGGGACCAGCAGATGGCATAATGGTTATGTTGCTGGACTCTCACCTATTTGACTGTGGTTTGAGTCCCAGACCCAGCGGTTTCAAACTCATGCCAGGCGCGTGTGTGCAAATGCCCAAGAGGGCAATGGAGAAGAAGGGGTTACGGTGTGACCATCACCCCTGGGGGGTGATTTTTCTTTTTCTCTCTTTTGTCTCTCTGTCTCTCCAGCAAATGCATGTGCCCTATAAAAAAAATCTCTAAAAACAAAACAAAACAAAAAAACAGGGACCAGCAGGGATGCGTGGTTAAGGCTCTAGACTCCCACATGGCCAACTGTGGTTTGAGTCCTAGACTTGGCAGCTTGCTTTCTCACTGTTCTCTCTGTCTCTCTTGGTGAGTGCATGTGCCCTATAACAAATTAAATAATAGTAATAATAATGAATAAAATTTTTCAAAAGTAAAAGAAAAGAAAACAAACAAAAAACACAAATGGGGCTAGCTGGTGGCATGGTGTTTAAGGCACCAGACTTCCACATGGCTAACTATGGTTCAAATCCCAGACCTGGTGTCTTGACAGTTATACCTGCTGCATGTGGGTGTGTGCCCAAAATCCTGAGAAGGAATTGTGGTGTGGAATGGCCTGGGGTTAGGTGACGTGTTGTGCTGCATTTATGCTAGGCACTCCAGGAGTTTCTAGTATTTGTTGGTTCTCGAGTTTCAGAAACCGTTGCTCTACAGCAGTGTTCTCAAACCTTGCTGTGCTTCAGCATCACCAGGGGAACTTACTAGAAATAGAAATACCCTGACCCCACCTTTGGGAATG